GACGGCCACCGCTTCCAATGTCACCGAGCAGAGGCTTCAGGTTCTGGTGAGGAGCGCCGTGGCCATTGAGAGCAGGAATACCATACTCTGGGACGGACGCGAGCTCAGTAATTGCCTGCTCAAGGGCGGCATCTCGTGTGAGAGCTTCTTCGGCGCTGATTGCCTGAAACCTGACGCGGTCACCTGGTCGCATTTGGCCGAGCTTCCACATCTCTGAAGAAGCAACAACGCAGAAGACGACGAATCCTCCGAGGCTGGGACCATCGCACGTCAGGATGACTGCTTCGTCACCAGTGAAGCTGACACTGCCCACCGAGTACGGCGTGTCATGTATGTTCGAAGGGTGAAGACCAGCGCCGCCGCCTGTGCGTCGCGCCCACTGAGGCTTGGGACCCGTCAGGCGGATGCCGAATCGGTTACTATTATAGTGGACAGACCATTCCTCCTCGAAGAGGGTGTCGAGTCCCTCAGCAGTGAAGAAATCAGGGGCACCATGAGGGCCAGGGACGACTGCCACCTTCCAGATGGCATCGGGTTGAACAGGAATAGGGGGCTGGGGGGCTGGAACCACCGAGACCAGTGCATCAGTCGCTGTAGCTTGACCAAGAGGAAGAAGATCGCCCGAGCGGAGGTTACGGCCATTGTGCCCACCAAGTTGGCCCAAGGCAAAGGTGGATCGGCTTCCAAAGACTTCGGGTACATCAACGCCGCCTCGGATGGCTAGGTACATACGGTATCCGTTGATCGCGTTGCCGAAAGCCAACGTCTGGCCGCGGCGGACGAAAAGAGCGATATTCGTCTTTGCAACTTCCCTATCAATCTTCACCTCGACCTCGGCACCAGTTATGGCAACGATTGCATCGGAATGAAAGAGGAGCGATGGTCCCTGAACAGTCATTTCCAGGCCCGCGGCGCGACTATCGTTGCCCACGATGCGGTTGGCCAGCCTGAAAGAGTAATCGTCAAAAGGGCCGGAGGGGGGTACGCCAATATGCCAGAACTTCTTGCGGCCTGGGAAATCCTGGACGGCCGTCTGCGAGCCTGCTTCAACAACCTCAATAACTGAAGCCTCGACCTTGAAGCTATTCAAAGACGAAGTGGTGAAGCCCCCCGATCGGAAAAGGTCAGATCCGATGATTTGGCGGAGGTATCCGAGGTTCGTCTCAACGCCTGTAATGGTTGTCTCAGCCAGCGCGAGTGCCATCTTCTCGAGCGCCGATGCTCGATCATCAGCTACGACGATAATCTTGGCAATCATGGGGTCGTATGAAGAGGAAACGTCCATGCCAGCCTCGACCCATGTGTCGACGCGCACATTCTTCGGAAGGACTACATCGACAAGGCGTCCAGGAGAGGGACGAAAATTCTGCAGGGGGCTCTCGGCGTAGACGCGCACCTCGATAGAGTTTCCATTGACAACAAATCCTTGCTCGCGATTGAGAAAAAGATCATGGCTGTTTCCAGAAGCAATCTTGACCATGGCTTCGACGAGGTCCAATCCGGTGACCGACTCGGTCACGGGGTGCTCAACTTGCAGTCGAGTATTGACCTCAAGGAAGTAGAACTCTTCCGTGTCAACATCGTAAATATATTCAATGGTTCCGACGTTGCGGTACTTCACCGCCGCGGCGAGGCGCTTGGCCGCTTCTCTCATCCGATCCCGGACAGCCGGCGGCACAAAGACGGCGGGGCTTTCCTCAACGACCTTCTGATTCCTTCGCTGCAGCGAGCAATCCCTCTCGCCGGCGGTCGTGACGTTTCCCTCGCCGTCGCCAAGCATCTGAACCTCTATGTGCCTGGCATTCTCGATGAAATGCTCAACAAACATGCCAGCGTCGCCAAAATTTGCCTCGGCGAGTCTTTGCACGCTGTGATACGCCTCAGTCAGACTCTTTGCGTCATCGCACCGACTGAGCCCGATGCCGCCACCGCCGGCCGTGCTCTTGAGCATTACGGGGTATTTGATGCGCTCAGCTTCGGCGAGGGCCTGGTCGACGCTCTCGAGAAGAGATTTGCTTCCAGGAACGACAGGAACGCCAGCCGAGATGGCGACCTCGCGCGCAAGGTGCTTCAGACCTAGCTTGCGCATCTGGTCGGGCGTAGGACCGATCCAGACGAGGCCCGCAGCCTCGACTTGTGAGGCAAAGTCAGCATTCTCAGCGAGGAAGCCGTAGCCTGGAATGATGGCCTCTGCGCCAGACTCTTTCGCGAGTATGAGGATCTGCTGCCCATCGAGATAGGTCTCCGAGACGCTGTTTCCCTCGAGAGCCAGGGACAAGTCGGCATCACGGACGTGGTGGGCTTTGGCATCGGCGTTGGAATGTATGGTTACGGCTTTGATACCCCAGCTTGCGCAGCGTCTTGATAATGCGGACAGCTATCTCGCCACGGTTGGCGATGAGCACCGTCTTGATCTCACGGGCGAGCCTTTTCGATCCAGCTGTCTGTGGCTTTTGCGACGCCATGAAACCACGCCAGCCTCCGAAAGAGGTGATGTCGGTGGCGCCCTCGAGGCCATACGGCTCACAAATAAAGCTATGTGCCCAATTACCGTCCTCGAGCTCGACGGAACCAATGCCAAGAGGCGTCGCGATGGTCTTGACAAATGACGCCAGCTCGGACCGTGGCAGATTCCACACCTCGACTTCGATGGAGCTCCCACCCTCACGGACGCGTTTCAACCCAGGTTTCTTGATGGGGCTGTCTGTATCGAGAGAAAAGAGCTGATAATTGGAGGACGTCTTGGTGGCTCTGTCGAATACGGCGCCCCGGCAGGTGAGGTCTTTGTTCAGGGGAAACCCTGTGAGATGAGCGCCAACGACGACGACGGCAATGGTGGTCTCATTGATGACATCTTTGACTGGCTCCAGAATCTCTGCCTTGGTAGCTCCCAGCGGCCTCGGCGCTGTGGAAAGCCACTCTCTTGCCAAGGCCATCAGCTTCGGCTCCTGCCACATGGTCGAGATGAGCGTGATGCCAAATGGCAGCCCGTCCGCTCTGAAGCCGGCGGGTACGGATAGCGCTGACCAGTCGAGAAAATTGACGAAGTTGGTATATGTTCCTAGGATGGCGTTTTCTTTGATTGGTTCTTTCTCCAGGTCCTCGATCGTAGGAAACGTCGGCGCCGTCGGCACGAGTATAGCGTCAAACTCGCCAAACGCCCTTTCAATATCCCTCGTGAGGTCCTGACGACGGTACTCGGCCGCGAAAAGGTCGGCCGCATTGAACCCGCGAGCCTTGAGGACAATGGTCCGTACCGTGGGGTCCATATCCTCCTCATGCGCCTCAATGAAGTCTTTGATCGCAGCGTACCGCTCACCGACCCAGGGACCCTCATATAGTAGGTTCGCAAGCTCAAACAGCTGCGAGAAGTCGCGCGGCACAAGAGTCCACCCGAGGCTCTCGGCCTTGGCGATCGCCCTGATGTAGGCAGCCTCCTGTTCCCCCTGGCCATACCACTGCGGATCGCTGCAAATGGCCATGCGGCGGCCGCTGGCGGCGAAGATCTCTGGTCGCTTGCGGGAGAACGAGTCGGCGAGGTCGTAGCCCTCGGCCGCAACCAGGGCCGTTTCGGCATCTTCGGTCGTCAAGGCAAAAATCGAGACGCAATCGAGGCTGCGACACGCCGGTACAACGCCTGCTGTGCTGATGGCTCCCCTTGTAGGCTTCAAACCTATGAGATTGTTGAGACCTGCGGGGACACGACCGCTGCCGGCCGTGTCGGTGCCAAGACTGAAGGGAACGATGCCCCTGGCGACGACAACGGCGCTGCCAGAACTAGAGCCGCCACTGACACGTTCAGAATCGAAAGAGTTCCTCACAGCTCCGTACGGTGACCTTGTGCCGACAAGACCTGTGGCAAACTGGTCGAGATTCGTCTTACCAAGAACAATGGCACCAGCGGCCTTGAGGTTGGCAACAACGGTCGAATCTTGCTCGAGGGGCCCCTTGGCAAAACTGGGACAGGCGGCGGTGGTAGGGAAGCCGGCAACATCAATGTTGTCTTTAGCAGCAAAAGGAACGCCAAAGAGGGGGAGCGAGGCCGGGTCAGCAGTGGTACTAAAGGCCTCGAGATGGCGCCATTGCATTTCGATCTGAGCGGGCGTTGCGAGCGAGATCCAAGCATTGGAGCTACGGCTCTCCTCTGAGGCGCGAAGGGCTAATAACCGTTCGAGGCCGCCACCTCCTCTTTGCGCAGTCGTCCATTCTGGGATGGTAAGGGGAAAGGTTTCGGTGACTATCACCATCATCAGTCTCTCGGATCAAATGGTCAGAAAAGGGAAGATGAAGATCATACCAGACATATCAACCATGATGATTCTCAACAAGTGCCGTGCCGTTTCTACAGACCGAGTTCCTCTCAGGGGAACTCTAGAAACCTATATAACTCGCACAGGGGGTCCGCGCCG